CGCCTGAGTTCACCAAAGAATGTGGTGGTGGCGGGAACACCTGACCCGGCTCGAGGGTCGAATCAGCTTGATTTTCAGGAAATGAACCGTGTAACAGAACAGTTACACGAAGACTTGGATCATGAACGGACTCGGGGTTTTGAGCTTCATGACATTTTAAAGGATGATCGCACGATCGTTCAAACGATCGTGCTGCGTTTGCGTTTGCGCAACTAGAGAATGAACGTTCGATTCGTTCTCTTCGTGACAAGCTGGCTGCAGCTCGTCGAGACATCGCTCAACTGCGTGAGCAGGTCGCTTCGCTAGTCGACCAGACTGTCTCGCTGAAACGGGACCACTCGAGGGTGGTCTCGGCTCTCGACCGCGGAGGTGTTCTTCGCATCTCGAAACGGGCTCGTACTGATAGTAAGGGCGGAGACGTCCAACGTAAAACGTAGGATGCGTACGCATCTTACGGGGCAGTTCAATCGTGTATGCGTTGTCTATTCGGCGCAACACACAAAATGGACCGATGTACCTGGGCAGTAATTTATTGCTGCCCACATTTTTCACTGCGTGTTTCGGCAGATTTACTGTAGACAGTAAAACTAGGTCTCCTTCATCAAATGAAAGAACATTTGCTCTTCCATGTTTGTCTGCATTTCTTTTCTGTCTGTCTAGTGCATCTGCAATAGCGTCTTGAATGAAGCGGACAACCGCTTCGCGAGTCAGCAGCAATTCCTCTTCTGATTCATCCTTGTCAACAGCAGTGCGCTTCGTGTGCACTGCTGATGTCTTCACCAGTGAGGGTATCATCGTCCTCACTTTGGCAGCCATTGGCGATGCTGAATATACCAGCATCATCGTCATTATCGTCATTGGTGTAGATGTGATCGACATCGGCATCCATCACATCGACGTCATTCTCGACGTGCGACGAGTAAGAACCAGATCGGTTTTCGCTCGAGCGAGTCTACACCCCCTCAAACTTGAGTCACACTATAAGAAGGGGGGTAAACATGGATGGCGTAGGCCATCTACGAAGAACGGTGCATGCGTTGTCGACGCATGCACCGAGTTGTTGATGGCGAATTCCACCATCGGCAAGAACTCACTCCAACTCGTAAACAAGTGGACATACCCTCGAATTATCTCTTCGAGGACGCGGTTGACGCGTTCCGTCTGACCATCTGTTTCTGGATGGTCAGAAGTCGACATTTTAAAACGTGTTTCAAGTGAACGGAACACGTATTGCCAGAACTCCGCTGTGAAGCGGGGGTCCCTATCAGACACGAGTTCACAGGGTAACCCGTGAAGTCGGAAGATAGTATCGATGAAGACACGAGCACAGACCTGGGCTGTGAATGACTCCGTTACAGCAACAAGACATACCATCTTGCTTAACCAATCAACAAACACAAGAATAACAGTATTCATGTGAACATCTTTAGGAAGCCCAAAGACGAAGTCCATCGATGCCTACACTCTTACGGGATCGGTAGCGGCTGTTAGGGTGCGCGGGATGAAGGGCTAGGCTTTACCCGTTGACAAACTTCTCAAGCGCGGACGTATTTGCGCACAAACTCGTACTGGCGAGACCAGTAGAAGTCACGACTCACCGTGAGGTCAATCTTTCCCTACCGCGATGTCCACGTGTTGGGGCATCGTGACACTCATACATGATGCACAATCGCAAATCATCATGAGAGGGAACGATGACACGAGGTGTGTCGCCTTTGACTGCTGCATAGTACAGCAGTCCATCACGAACCGAATATCGTTCGGTTGAAGAGCGGTGTTGAGACGTCAAGCTTTTCAAAGCTTGACTGCATGGATTAGATAAATAGTCCATCGATCGCAGAAAATACTCATCTTCTGTGTATGCTTTTCGCATGTCGTCGAGCAGATCCGACTACGGAACACTCACTGTTAGTGTCGATGCAGTGGGATCACCCCTACTGTAGTGTTGAGCAGTCGGCTCGAAATCGGTTCGACGCGAAAGAGCATCAGCGACGACATTAAGTCGTCCTGGTTTAAACAAGACGTAGAAGTTGTACTCCGCGAAGAAAGACAGCCACCTCACCATTCGTTGCAAGAGGTGTGGACTGTTTACGGCCGTGCGTAACGACGCATAATTGGTACAAACGATGAAGGACCTATCTTCTGAGGGATATACCCTAAACTTAGCCGGTGCAAATTTCAAGGCAAGGAGTTCCTTGTCATGCACTGGTTAATTACGCTCAGCTGCTTGCTGCTGACGCGATTGATAACAGACGACGCGCTCAACGCCTTCTGAGTTGTACTGCATTAAAGCGCAGCCGATTGCAAATGGCTGGCGTCACAGACCACATGAAATGGTCTATCCTGATCTGGAATTGCCAACACAGGCGATTGCACCAAGCTTTTCTTGATGCCTTCAAAAGAGTGCTGACACTCAGCGCTCCATGACCACCTCTCGTTTTTATTAGCAGTCGAGAGGGACGAACGGTCAAATAGGCGTAAGTGCGAGAGTACTTGTGCAAGTACGCTGCTTAGCCAAGGAAATATCGAAGTCCCTTGACGTCGACTGGCACAGGCCAGTCACTAATCGCCTTTATCTTTTCCGGATCAGGGAGTACGCCTTTTACCCACGATGCAGCCAAGAAGTGGTATCTCGCTCGCTACGAATATGCACTTCTTGAGGTTGACATACAACTTACGCTCTCGCATAAGCGTAAGAACCTTCTGGACGTGGATTCTATGAACCTCTACTTCCGTCTTTCCATCAATAGCCCTGCTATGGACGAAGACATCTTCAAAGTAACTCGGTGCGAAGTCTCGAACCGATCGCAACAGATTCGTAACACATATGTTAAGCGTTGCGGGGCGTTACTTATCCCCTGTGACATCACTAGCCACTCCCAGAGCATACCACTGGGGGTGCTCAATGCTGTGTACGGGATGTCCCGTTCACGCGTGAGGATCTGATAGAATCCATCCAGCAGATCCATGGATGAAAAGATGGTACTATTTGCCATACCATCTATGGTGACGTCCTTCCTTGGTATCGGCGTTTGAGCCGGTACCGTTGCGGCGTTCCATTTGTTGAACGCGTGCACTATCCGCCACGCTCCTGTGGCCTTTCGCACAGAAGTTCGGAGAGCTGTGTGGGGATGATGATTCCCTCACATGACCAGCCGCTAAACGATCGGCAAAGAATTTGTCGATCGATGTGACCTGTTCACAAGGCAGTGACCACTGCTTCATGACACAGTACTTCGAACCGGGTTTCAGCTCGATCTCATGCCGAGTGCCTTTGTCCTTGGGCAGCTCGCATGGCATGGTTTCAGGGAAAACATCCCTGAGTTCGATCAAATCCTTTTACAAAGGATTTGTCTTCAAATACTCCCAAGATTGAGACGTGTACCGCTCAAATCCGGGTCTTCGCATCGAGGACACTCTCGTCCATCGCTCAATCCGGGTCTTCTCATCGAGGGCACTCTCGTCCATCGATGAACTACTGAGAACCCGTTCGTTCTCAGCAAACACTTGTGCCGACCGAATATCGGCGACGCACTCGTCCTCTGTGACGAGTACGCAGATCTGCTTGATCTTGTCACTACGCAGATCTCGCACAAATCTTTTGGATTCAAGCGTTGGCAACTTGATTACCTCCGAATTTGAGTTCGGGGGTGTAACTAGCTCAAGTTTATAAGTGCCTACACTTGATCCGTCATTCACCAAGACATTCACTGTCTCGGTGATTTCCTTGGAAAAAACATCCGCAGGTGGTTGGGGATCCACATCTTCAACATAACTCTCTCGGGAGTTATCACTCTCAGAAACGCTGGAACTTTCTTCGAATACGTGTACTGACTGTGGGTGTTTTACCACAGTCACGTCCTCACTGATCGGCTCTCTTTCAGTCGGTCGGGCTTCAACGTGTTGTTCATCCTGAACAACACTAATCTCTATTCTCGGATGCACCCTTCTTGGTGTGCATTCGGGTTCCGTGTTCCAGTCCACTCGATATTTATGAGTGGAGAACCTTCGGCGCAGCCTGTGTCTCTACAAAAGTGCCGGAAGCTGTTTCCACAGTGCAGTGGCATTCTACACTGTGATCTTGTGCAGTCGTACTTACGACCATACCTCAAGTGAGGCCATCGCCGTACTTACTCGTAGTACATCCACACGCTTGTGGACGCTCCAAGACGTTCATCAGACGACCATTTGATGACCAAACGGCAGGAATCTTCACGGATTGATGCTGCCAGTTAACCCATGGCTAGTATTTTCTAAGCCATGGCAGACCGGGGATGACGTCAAATTTGTCATCCAAATCTAGTACGATGAAGTCATTATCAATCTGATTTCCTTCTAGCGTGTAGTGGATTCTCACTACACGTTTGTTCACGGTTACGGATGCGCCTGTAGCAAGGCACACCGTCATCCTCGTTGGAGGGAACTCTCGCTCAACATAGTTGAGCCTACTATCCTTTAGTGACTGGCGTCGAATAAAGCTGTTCGACGCCACACAGTCAACTAGGGCGCGGAGTGACATTTCACTTGTCACTTCGATATTCAAAGTGATGAGGAACTCCTCATCACTAAGGGCTGCAACACACAGCGACTGTGTGTTGGGAGCAATCTTCGTCAAGAGTCCTGCAAATTCTCTTGACGTTGCTGAATTAGCAGGGTGCTCCGCCCCTACTGACCCTTACATTTTGTGGTGGTCCGACTTAGACCTTTCCTCGGCCAACAGCAGATATCATGTCCTGTTTTCGGACGTGTTGCAGTGCTCGGGACACTACGCTCATGAGCGTAGTGTCCAATCTTCTGAAAGCGATGGCATCTTGCCGTTCGATTGTGACTCAGAGAGCGAGTGTTCTCGCTCTCGATGTAACAGAAGTCCATTGTTCGGGACCTCCGGTTTTCTGTCGTCTCGTCGGACGATAGTTGGACGAGTTAGCCTGAGACTGTCTCAGGCTGAAGTCTTCTTGTTACGCATACGCTATCTCTCTTTCCAGCGTATGGAAGTCCTCTTAGAACATGTAGGTCTTCACCGGCCCGTCTACAAGGTCGTAGATGAACACGATGATGAGCGTGTGCTCATCAACAGGGTTCTCCGCAATACTCCTCGCAAGGCAGCGTAGGTATTGTGCGTAAGCATGCACATCACGCTTACCTTGCTTGAGCCTCAGGAGTGCAGAATGTGCTTTGAACTCGGCTCGTGGTAGCTCAAACGTCTCTATGAGTCGAGACTTCAAGATCTGCAGCGTCTCAAACACGTTTGGGTCGTGAAGCTTTAGCCCTAAGGCAAAGTCTTCGCTCGTCCTGTCAAAGTTGACAGGGCGAAGGTGACTTGCATCTCGTCACCCTCGATGTGACGGGCCCTAATGGCATCGTCTAACTCGACGAACCATCTTAAAAGAGAATCTTCATCGGTTTCCTTGAACCTCGAGATATAAATCTTTAAGGTTTCGGGTCGACGCAAGTGCGTCGGCCCGCCCATCGACTGATGAGAGCCTTGCTGCTGTAGCAAGGCTATCTTCTGTCGTTCGATGGCAATTTCCCCTTGTAAGAACTTGATGATAGCAGCATGTTGCTGGTCTCTGCTTAGAGACTCCAACATACCAATGATGGCGGGTTCGCCCATGAGCACACTCATGCGGCGGACTACCTCCCATTCTGAGTCACTTAGGTGGGAGCAGCCTTCACGTGTGACGTGAAAGCTGTCGTCTTCTACGTCCAACATGTTCATGTTGGACGTACACTAAGTAGTCGTTGGATGGACTACGAAGTGCTACCAGGTGTAACGGGGCACCCTTTGTCTGGGTGACACGAAACTTCACGTACACTAGTACGTGCAGAGGAAGCTAATCTACTCAAACTGGTAGTTTGAGTTCAGGTAAATCAGAAGCGTATTCAATACAGTTAAGCTGAGAATTTGATTCCACGCGTCGTATGACGACAACCTGCTCACCACCCATTATGCACGTCTAGCAGCGATTGGAGGTAAATTATGGTTGATATGTCTTTATCAACCTGTCTTTGAGCAGCGCATAGACATTATCCTAATGGAATGATATTTCTTCAATATTACCTACCTCGAGTAATATTGGCAGGAGATTGTCACGCTAGACACTCTTTCTATTGACACCGTTTTGTGGTAATACCATGTAACGGACTACCCCGTTACACACACCATGCGATGAATTGACAAATGAGGTAAATTTGAAAAACAAGTGCTCCCCTTCCTAGAGTGATCTACTCGTGGTCATCCTGTCTCCATCAATTCTAATATAGTTAACGGGTGATTGATGGTTAAGGGGGGGGGTGATGTAACGGGGTAGCCCGTTACATGAAATTGACACCAAACAGTGTCAATAGGGAGATTGTCGAGCGTGACAATTCCCTACCAATACTACCCGAGATAGGTAATGTTGAATAAATTTAACCCTTTTCAGGATAGTATTTAAGCGCTGCTCAAAGATTGGTTGATAATGACATATCAATCATAGATTACCACCAATCGCTGCTAGACGCGTGCAATGGGTATTAATTTACATTGTCTAATGACGACAATGTAGATTAATATAGTTAGATAAAGACCGAAGTTATATTAATAGATTCACTCTTTTGATTACGTTTTGTAAAGTACAAGCGTTAAATATCTAGAGAAAGTGTCAAAGATTCTGCATAAACAGGTTTAAATACCGTAGATAGTTTAATTCCTTTTGGTCGTGGTCATCGAGAATTAATAATTGGGGATAGACAAACAGGTAAAACTTCTACAGCAGCTATTCGCCGACAATAACAATAAAATATCGGAGGGGAAACCGTTGGACAGCAAATCTTTTCTCGACTTGATGGTGAAAGAGAAAGGAACAGAACAGAAGAGACGGCAGCGATTTTCGTTCTTTAACGATGAAGTTTTTCTAAGCAGAGAGATTATCAACTGGCAAAAATAGCTCTTCGGGACAGCCCCTAAGTCAGTGAGCAGGTGATACCTATGTGGTTGATGTAACGGGGTGAATCGTTACATAACAATTTATAAGAAAGTGTGAATAGAATATAACTATAAGAGTTAAATTCTCAGAATATTGTCATAAGGACATATATTCTGTAGCACTTACGAGTAGTTCCTGATTGGTTGATATAGGCCATTATATCAACCAACGAAGACGCGCCACGACAGACGCACGCAATGAGTGGTGATCAGATAGTTGATATGCACATTTGTATTTAGACATAGTTAAATGAGGATAAACAGGGGGTTTATTACAGACATTAACTATGATAAATACAGTTCTACTTTTTACTTAAATTAAGTACTCGCTTCTTCTTACCGTCTTCCTCTGCACGTACGAGTGTACGTAAAGTTCCGAGGCACCGCCTTATTCTGTCATCAGAATAAGTAGCTTGTACTGTCATCAGTACAAGCTTCAGGGTGCCCCGTTACACCTGGTAGCACTTCGTAGTCCGTCCAAGGACCACGTTCACATCTAACATGAATATGTTGGATGATGAAGATGACCAAAGCTTTCACGCTACGCGTGACGGCTACTCCCATTTGAGCGATTTCGAATGGGATGCGGTTGAACGGATGGGTTCAACCATGGGCAACCATGCTGTAAGCGTCATGCTAGAGGCTCTCAATAGAGATGCCCAACATGCTACTATCGCCAAGTTCATTCAAAATGAACTTGACACTGAACGCGAGAAAGTAGCCTTGCTTCACCAAAAAGGTTCTCAACAAGCAGAGTTGTTGAGAGAACAGGGTGCTCAACAGTCTGAGCTGTTGAGACAGCAGCAGGCTGCTGCTGGTGGGTCGATGCACTCGCGTCGACCCGAAACCTTGAAGATTGACATCTCCAAGTATAGGGGAGTCGAAGAGGACTCCCTCTTGAGAATGGTTCGTCGAATTGGATGACGCCATAAGGACGCGTCGCATCGACGACGGGGATATGCAAGTTGCATTTGCCCAGTCAAATCTGGCAGGACGTGCCAGGACTTGGGCACTGGAGCTCAAGTTGCACGACCCATATGCGTTTGGGTCGTTGGAAGTCTTCAAGTCGCGGCTCAGACAAACGTTTGAACCGCCTAGAGCTGAGTTTAGAGCTCGAACCGAAATCTTGAAGCTCAAACAGGGTAAGCGTGATGTGCACGCTTACGCGCAACATATACGACATCTCACGAGTTGTATAAGTTCCAATCCGGTGGATGAACACACGCTGGTTTCGGTGTTCATGCAGGGTCTTGCGGATGGTCCCGTCAAGGCTCACCTGTTCCGAATCGAACTAGATTCACTAGAACAAGCCATTTCCATTGCGGAACAGGAAGACTTCAGTCTGAGACAGGCTCGCGCCAGCTCGACACTATATCGTCAACCGAGACGATATGACAGCTGAGGTCCAGAGCCGATGGAACTCTGTTATGTAGAGAGCTAGAAGGCTCGCTCTACAGACTACAAGAAATTGCAGAAATGCAACAGATGTCAAAAGACAGGACACTACGCTTACGAGTGTAGTGCCCCTCGTCCAGTGTCTCGCAACACTGGGCGTAGTGACCGTCCAACCATGAGAAAGGGGCAGGGACGCGGGTCCGCTGTTGGTGCAAAGACGCAACAACGGGATGGACCGTCAAAAGACGGACAGGATCAGTAGGTGCGGAGCACCCTACTGGTCCAGCAACGTCAAGAGAATCTGCAGGCCTCTTGATGAAGGTTGCTCCCAACACACAAACGTTGTGCGTTGCTGCTTTAGGTAATGAGATCTCACTCATTACCTTGAAACTCGAAGTGACAAATAAGTTGTCCTTCGAGCTCTAGTCGATTGTGGGGCGTCCAACAATTTTGTGCAACTCCAATCGCTAGAAGATGGTCATTTTAAGTTCAGTGAATGTGACACACCTCCTACGAGGATGACGGTACGTCTTGCGACAGGCGCATCCGTAACCGTCATGAAGCGTATAGTGAAGATCCACTATACGCTAGAAGATATCGAATATGACGATGACTTTATCGTATTGGAATTGGATGACAAATTTGATGTCATTCTAGGAATACCGTGGCTCAGAAGGTACAAACCACGGGTAAACTGGCAACATCAAACAGTAACGGTGCCTGCCGCTTGTTCATCAGACGGCCATCTGATGAACGTTTTGGAGCGTCCACAAGCGTGTGGATGTACTACGAGTGAGTGCGATGGCCTCACTTGTGGTACGGTCGTTAGTACGACTGCACAAAACATTAGTGTAACAAACAGTTACACGTCGGAGCAAAGTTCCGGCGGCTGTAAGGAAACACAGGCTTCGCCGAAGGTCCACCACTCGAATAAGTCGAGTGGGCCGGGACAAAGATGTATCCCTAGCGGGGAACATCTAGAAGAGAAACAAACGATCGCTCAGGTTAAGCGAAACGATAATCCTAGATCGACTGGAGAGTCTTTCGTAGAGGATCTCGCTGTGGTTGCGCAATCCCAGCTAGAGGAAGTAAAGGGAATAAGTCCCAATATTACAAATACGGCGGAAATAAGTTCCCCGAAACCCGAGGGAATAATTCCCCGGGAAGCCGAAGGAATAAGTCCTTCGAGGCCTGAGGAAATGAGTCCCCAGGAAACGACAGAGACATTGAATGTCATAGTCAATAACGGATCAAGTGTAGGCGCTTATACACTTGATCTGATTGCGCCTCCGAAGTTGACTTCGGAGATCACTCAGTTGCCAACGCTCGAACATAAAAGGTTCTTGCGTGATCTGCGTAGTGGCAAAGCCAGCAGATCTGCGTACTCGTCGCTGACGACGAGTGTGTAGCCGACATAAGGTCAGCAACAGTGTTCACTGAGAACGAGAGAGTTCTCAGAAGTTCATCTATGGACGAGAGTGTCCTAGATGAAAAGACACGAGTTGAGCGGTGTGACTCCCAATCGTGGGAATCGCTCAAGACAAATCCTCTCTATGAAGATTTGGTTGATTTCAAGGATGTATTCCCTAAAACTGTTCCGTGCGAATTACCGAAGGATTAAGGTTTTCGACACGAGGTCGAGCTTAAACCAGGCTCGAAGTACTGTGTCATGAAGCAGTGGCCACTGCCTCGTGAACAAGTACTTGCGATCGACGAATTCTTTGCCGATCGTTTAGCTGCGGGCCATGTGAGGGAATCAACTTCCCCACATAGCCCTCTGACCTTCTGTGTGCGAAAAGCAACAGGAAGGTGGCGAATTGTGCATGCATTTAACAAGTTGAATGCTGCAACGGTACCGGCTCAGACGTCGATACCAAGGGAAGGACGTAATCATTGATGGTATGTCAAAGAGTACCATCTTTTCGTCCATGGATTTGATGGATGGCTTCTATCAAATCCTTATGCGAGAACGGGATATACCCTATACCGTAGTTAGCACGTCTATCGGCATGCTATGGGAATGGCTAGTAATAACACAAGGGCTTAGTAATGCCCCAGCCACGTTCGACAGATGTGTATCACATCTATTGAGACAAGTACGAGAATTCTCGCCGAGTTATTTCGATGAAGTATTCATCTATAGTCGGGATATGGATGGAAAGTCGGACGTTTAGGTTCACAGATACCACGTCCGACAGGTTCTTACAATCATGCGAAAGCATCAATTGTATGCAAACCTCAAGAAGTGCATATTTGCAGCAAGCAAAATACCACTGCTTGGGTGAATCGTTGGTAAGAACGGTGTACGTCCTGATCCCGAAAAGATCAAGGCGATCGCCGACTGGCCTGTGCCGTTTGATGTCAAAGGTCTTCGAAAACTCATTGGGCTAGCGTATTTGTACAAGTATTCACGCAATTACGCCGAGATGACTGTACACCTCTCTCGTTTGTTGAAAAAGAACGAGAGGTGGTTATGGAACGCTGAATGTCAGCGCTCCTTTGATGGTATCAAGCAGAGCTTGATACAATCCCCATTCTAGCAATTGCCGATCAGGACAGGCCATTTCATGTGGTCTGTGATGCCAGCGATTTTGCAATCGGCTGTGCATTAATGCAGTACGATCTTGAAGGCGTTGAACGCGTCGTCTGCTATCAGTCGCGTCAGCTGCAACCAGCTGAGCGGAACTATTCAGTGCATGACAAGGAACGCCTTGCCATGAAGTATGCACTCGCGAAGTTCAGAGTCTATCTATTAGGAGATAGACCCTTCATTGTTTACACAGACCATGCGTCGTTACGCACGGCAGTAAACAGCCCACACCTTTCACAACGAATGGCGCGGTGGTTGTCACTCTTTACAGAATACAACTTTACGGTAGAGTACAAACCAGGACGACTTAATGTCGTCGCTGATGCACTCTCACGTCGTCCCGACTTTGAACCAGTCGTGAAACCCAACAGTGAGACAGTCACTGTTGCGGTTATGACGTCCTCAGTCCCATCTTCAACGTTGCATGATGATGTGAGGCGGGCATACGCCCAAGATGGTGAAATGGTGAAGTTATTGACACATCTCTCACAGCCATCTCGAGAATCGTTGAAACGATTGTCGTCCGCGTATCGATCTGCATCAGATCGATACACTACTCGCAACGGTTTACTGTATTATACAGCCGTTTCTGGTGACACACCACGTGTTGTCATCCCAGATGATACTGATCTGCGTTTGCGGATCATGTTCGAGCATCACGATGCTCCTGTTGGAGGACACCGTGGCCGGGAGAAAACATATCTCACGGTGAGTCAAGACTTTTACTGGCCCCGCCAGTATCAGTTTGTGCGAAAGTATGTTCGCACATGCGAAGTCTTTCAACGAGTGAAGTCAAGTCCTTCACTGCGTGCATATTTACAGCCTCTACCAGTTCCGGCAGAGTGCTGGGAATCCATCTAGATGAATTTCGTCTTCGGGTTACCCAAAGACGCACGCGGGAGTACGGGTATCCTCGTATTCGTTGACCGATTCAGCAAAATGGTACACCTTGTGGCTGTACTAGAGTCAATCACAGCAAGTGGCTGTGCTTGAGTCTTTATCGACACCATCTTCCGACTTCATGGGTTGCCCGGTGAACTCGTATCAGACAGAGATCCACGATTCACTGCTGATTTCTGGCGTTCCGTGTTCAAATCACTCGGAACGCGCTTGAAGATGTCGACATCTGATCATCCAGATTCAGATGGTCAGACGGAACGTGCCAATCGTGTCCTCGAAGAGATACTTCGAGGATACGTACACTCCTTTAAGTTGGAGTGAGTTCTTGCCCATGGTAGAGTTTGCCATTAACAACTCGGTGCATGCGTCCACGACACATACACCGTTTTACGTGAATGGCTTGCGCCATCCGCGTGTACCCACCTTACTAGAGTGTAACTCTGGTTTAAGGGGGGGGAGGGGCTCGCGCGAGCAAAAACCGATTTGGTTCACGCTCATCACGCTCTGACGAAGAGGTCATTGCGTTTGATGCCGATATCGATAACATCGATATCGAAGAAAATGATGCCAGTGAGAGTGCGGAAGCCCTCACTGAAGAAAATGTTGATGTTGCTGCAGTGCGCTCACAGCGCACTGAAGCTAACGAGTCATCAGATGAGTTCATACTGGCTCGTGAAACGGTAGTCCGTTTTGTGCAAGACTCCATCGCCGAAGCGGTGGATAAGCAAAAGCAAAACGCAGACAAGAATGGAAGGGCAAACACTCTTTTATTTAATGAAGGTGACTTAGTCCTACTGTCTACGGTTAACCTACCAAAGCATGTAGTGACTAACTTGGGTAGTAGTAAGCTTCTACCCAAGTACATCGGCCCATTTCGTGTATTGCATTGCCTAGGCAACGAATACACGATCGAACTGCCACGTAAGATGCGAACGCATCCCACGTTTTACGTTGGTCGGCTTAAGCCGTACCATCACTACGCTGCTTCTTCCGATGAAGAACGCCCTTGCGCTCAAGCATCTCGCAGAGAGCCTTGTGCATCCGATTGGTGGGCATCAACAAGGGTTTGAAGAGCAGCTATCTCATCCCGAGACCGATCAACAATCCCACGAGCTACCCTTAGCTCGTCACGAAGAGATGTCAGAGATCTCTCGTTCTCAAGCTGAGCAAAGGCAAACTCAGCTCGATGCTTCAAGGCAGTGTCCGCCAGTTGGAGACGCCTATTCCGCTCATGTTCGAGATCGTCGCGTAACCCTTGCGTTACGCGATCAAAGAAGCTATCGGGAACACACCGATCCCCATGATCGTGTGGAGAGCGTCTTTCCTCCTCCTCCACCTCCATTAGAGGACTCTCGCGGTGGCCAGCGCTATCTAGTTGAGCAGTTGTTGAACCACCGCGACGTGAACGGACGTCGGACGCGTTACCTCGTCCGGTGGCGCGGCTATCCCCCGTCCTGGGATTCTTGGGAGCCCCGCTCCCAACTGATGATCGACGTACTGGGTCTGGTTGAGCAGTACGACGCGGCACATCCTGTGCCGCAGAAGGACCGCCGGAGAAAGTCTTCCCGGCACGGTTGTAAAGGGATTTCAGGCTGTCAATCCCTTCGTACATCTCACTAGAGATACGTACGCGCCACCACGGGCTAGTAAGGAGGTAAGTCTCCTTAGGTGCGCGCGCAGAGTTGTTCACACAACATGGGCACGAGTCTCCCCAAGAGAGGCAGGATAATCCTTTCTCCCTTGACATACGATGCAGCTTGTAGCGTGCACCTGTCGGGGTTCGCTTTTCAAAATTATCACGAGCTTTGATAATTTTGTCGTTCCATACGTCACGACCTACATCCTCAAGGTTATGGATGTAAGCGTTCCACGCTTGAAGTAGTGAGGGAACATCACGTTTGTGATTCCCACTGTACCATCGATGTTTAAAGAAAGCATCGATGAAGAAATCATTTTCAGCGCGATAGTTTTTCGCACTGGGTTTAAGGTGATGGATCCTTGACGAATCGAACAACCGTGTTCGATAACGATCACTCGTCGTCGCCGACAAGTGATCCATGATGGATTTAGGAGGCATCCATGCTTTCTTTTCGGGAGCGAGACGCAACACGCTGCGGTCCCGCTCTTCCTGCGACGTGCCGACAGAAGTACTGGCACCGCGTTGCGAAGTGGTGTCAATAGGATAACCGACACCACTGTGAGCGCCCGAGTCTTGCGATCTCGAGCGCCTACGCTTTGGCGATCGTTCATCTGATTCGTCAGACGAACGAAAGATGCTGCGACGCATAGTATCATCCATGCCACGCTTGGCAGGCGGCTTGGGTTCGATCGCCGTCGATACAGACCCATCTTCAGAATCGGGAGAGTATATGACACCGAGCTCATACTCTGTGAAGACATGAATGTCTTCATGACCAGCGCCTGCATCACCAGGTGACACAGGCTGAGTCGCTTCAGCAACCGATGACACATCGGTTGCAGCGGTTTCTGCTTCGGCGTCCACACAGAGACGTGCGGACGCGCTCTCGGCGGCCTTGCTCGCGCACCGCATGGGCTTGTTAACCATGCGATGAACTGTTGGAAAGTGGACTCGGACCAACAAGTGCAAACCCTGTCCCAAATGATTTGGGACAAGTATCCATTTGGTCAATCAGTCACTAAAGTGACTGATGGTTAAGGGGGGGGTGATGTAACATGGTGAATCGTTACATAACAATTTATAAGAAATTGTTGATAGAATATAACTATAAGAGTTAAATTCTCAGAATATTGTCATAAGGACAAATATTCTGTAGCACTTACGAGTAGTTCCTAATTGGTTGATATAGGCCATTAGATCAACCAACGAAGACGCGCCACGACAGACGCACGCAATGAGTGGTGATCAGATAGTTGATATGCACATTTGTATTTAGACATAGTTAGATGAGGATAAACAGGGGATTTATTACAGACATTAACTATGATAAATACAGTTCTACTTTTTACTTAAACTAAGTACTCGCTTCTTCTTACCGTCTTCCTCTGCACGTACGAGTGTACGTGAAGTTCCGAGGCACCGCCTTATTCTTTCATCAGAATAAGTAGCTTGTACTGTTACCAGTACAAGCTTCAGGGTGGCCCGTTACAGATGAGTAGTACATGTTCCCTGAAAACGTCTACAAAAAATGGTGCCCATTGCTGATAAAGACATTCTTACATGGCGTCGGACATCGCAACAAGTAAAACAGCATTTCTGCAAAGCTATAAGAGTTGCTTGAATACATCTATCAGTACAACAAGATTAGAATTGATGAGATGAATGATTAGGAGAAAGGTGGACAAAAGCTGGTCATACCGTCTTGAGTGCCATGTATTATTTTGAAGCTTTCGTACCGAAGTTGCTGAATTCGGACAAAGCACATCTGGAGACATGGCTGCACTTCTAGAATACCGTCAAGCCAAGGGAGGTATGATGTCTTTCGTTTCGATGATGAAAAATGTAATGTCACATTCATGCTACTGTCAATACAGTTTTGCTTGGCGTGACTACGTGGTCAAATTCTGGACATAGTCCCGGCGTCTTGTGCCATAAGATCTCTTTGCAAGTTCGAACCGTCTTGAATCTTGTGGTTTGGTGGCGAAAATTTGTGTCTTTTTCGTAAGGACCTCGAGTACTGTCCGGCATACAAGAGCATGATCCAGGAACGCGGTAATGTCTTTATGTCGTGATTGGTTTTATACTTAGAAGAGGGACGACACAGGAATTGCTGGATGGCTAAATGATTATGAACGGATCATAATTATTCTGGGACAGAACGGGCATGCAGAACAACAGCTAGCAGCTTTGCGTGCATATATTTTCACTATGAAGAAACGAGTACTCTACATTGAGAGGGGTTTGTGTAGCAGACTAAGAGATCGTTGCGAGGAAAGCCATCAGTTTTCGGCCTGCCAGCATGGAATTGATCCAATCACTTTAACTCAGCAATTGTGGATCATAGATCCGTCTGAACAAAATCTTTGAGATCAATTCGTTGGTGGTGGGATGGAGCTTGGACCAATTTTCGCAATCAGCGCTTTAGTGTGGTGATTTGTGTGTTGCAAATACGCGCTTGTCCGGATATTCGCTTCCTATTTCAGCAACGAATGCGCTCGAGATGCAATTGTCCCTGTGCTGTAACGGGCATTTAGTCCTACTCCACCACACCAGCTGTGCCGAGACAAATTACGTTGCGTGCAGATATGCGGGACAAATTGAACGACTCCACATACCCGCTAGTCCCTCAGTGTAAAGATGACTAGTTACACGTTTTGGATACATGAACGATTCTTTAGTCCTGGAAGTATGTGCTCGAGATTGATTTGTCTAGAGTAAAGACGATCACACCGCTAGCGGTACGCAAAGTGAGCTTCGGCTGCTGTGGGTGTGTTTATTCTACCCACGTATATATATCTGTGGAAGCAACCTCATCATAGGTACCTCAAAGCCCATGCCAACCTTGGATGCGTTTTCGAATCAGGGCCAGCTACGGTGACGAGCAAACTTTTGTGCTCGACAACTTATTGCGGCCGCTATATGTGGTCGTGTTTTCGTCTCAGACCGGTGATGGCGACAAAGATGTTTTACGAACATAAGCTGCTGGATCGAGAGTGTGCCGAAGGGGTCATTTCACTTTGTTTGTTGTCCGGAGGATAATCGTATATTGACAGACTTCGACTGCATATGGCATAGCTATCGCCTTAAATAGCAGTATGACCATGAGATGCGCTAGTTGCCTACTTCCTACTTTAGAAAGCTGCTGTTGAAGACTTGCTTATGCAATTCAAAGTAATTGTAAGACCCTCTTGATGTCGGTTCTTCGATTGCAAGTCTTGGCCTAAGCCTTCAGTCAAAAAAAGGTTGCTACTCCAAGCATTACAGTCTCGGCTTACGCACCGGCGAACAGATTGACTGCACACGAATTAGCTCATCACGTCCTTCCAATGTCTGAAATCGCGCTCACAGGCTCACAAAAAAATTGAGTGTGGAGTTGCTTTTGCATAGCGAGCATGTAGCAACTGCAATACAAAGAGTGCAAAAAGACCGTAGCGCACATTTCCGGGAATGCACAAGGACGCAAGTGCGCTGCCGTCTATTATTACGACAATATGCTGGCGAGATTGCAAGGAATCCAGTGGTGTCAAAACACTGGAGCCACTGTGCAATCACCAAGCTCTACTGAATCCCCAGCAACTTTTCATGTGCTTGCAAAAATCTTACCACGACGGAAAGGAATTCAAATGCAAACGGTTATGTCAAGCTCCAAATGTCTAGTGTATCCATCAGCCGAGACGAAATGTGGCGATATTCCAAGGAGACTTTTTTCTTCGGCATTGAGCGTGTCCGAATACTGGAAAATCAGTCTTCGTCGGCTGAGGCCGTCGCAATACGTTACATGAACCTGCAGCACACAAGATTGCAGGGACACCTGGCTTATACGACAGTCTCCCACGATGCGTAGCCACGACTCGCGCTGATCTACGAGACCTAGGTCTTTCGGACATCTTACACATGTTGACTTGTAAGTAGACGAACGTGAATCTCCTCCTCTTTATGTCGACCTTAGCACTCAGCTAATAGTTAACGGTCGCAGACGTCATCTCTCGGCAAGACCAAAGTCACTCTAGTCAAAGAACAGAACCACTACAGTTGTGTCATCGTGGCGACGGCGACGATTAACCCCGGGTGGCAGGCTCAGCAGTTCTTGGTACCCCATCTCGTAGCGCTTCGCCGCTTTCTGTAGCACACGTTCGACCAGTGCACGTCCAGCGAGATCATGGTTTCCGCATGAAGCATGTCCATTCACGATATCCACAGCCTCTTCATTGCTAAGATGGTCCCACAGCCCATCCGAGCCGATAATGAGGAACTTGTCGCTACTATCCAGCTGGTGCGACGTAATTTCGGGGATAGCCGTGATGTAAGGCGGAGTGAAAGGTGCTGAAAAGTGGCGACCGGCAGTGCGATCGCCATTCGTGTAAGGCGGACCGTTAAACTCCGAGTACTTAAGCGAGAAGTCACCAAACGCACGCGTGGGCTGCAGCGCACCCTTTACGTAGCACGAGTCCGGGTGTCGACACGTGAATACGTTTGCCTCATCCGGGTGCTCCTTGACGAGCTTTTCTTGCTCGAACTTCACCATGGCGTTTTGGTCGTTACTAAGTGGTTTGGCCACAATCGTGGCAGCATCCTCTCCAAGTTTCCCCAATACCGCGCGAATGTCACCAGCGTTAGCAACGTAGACGGTGCCTTCATGCACGTAAGCCAGGCATCCGCAAGATCCACACCGCGCTACGGCTCCAAAGCCTAGCTTAAAAGCCGAAGCCACCTCTGCCATAAGGTCGCGATCAGTGCGTCCGAAGGCACGCTGGATAGCAGCAGCCACGCTTGCATTCGCAACTGCTGGCTTGTCGCCTTCAGCCGGCTCGTTTGTTCCCGGCTTGTGTAGATACGAGAACTCCTTCTGTACGTTGCCAATTAGCGTTTTCTTCGCATACTCAGAGACCTGCCATCCACCTGGAAATGCAATTATGAACACCAGGATGCCATTAAGGAGGTAGAGAAAGGACACGGTAAAAGGTTGCACTGGTGCAATAAGCAACAAATAGAAGTAAAGTACTTTTCGTACCATGGCCATCCAATACGGCCGCAAACACGTCTCCAGAGTCCGTCGTCTCCACCGCGTACTTGTCTTCAATCGGAAAATTGGCCTTGTACGATGCACTGCTGATCCTTGAAACACGCGACTTGGCGACGGACACAAACTCCTCGCGCTCGAGCGGTACGGAAAAGGCGCCATCGTCCACTGCGGGAGGGGCGTACCGGGCATCGCACTGCGCCTCCAAGCGCGCAGCTCTTCCGTCCGTTAGCTCATCATTAGCGAAGACCAGCACCGATAGACTTAAGCCGCTGAGAATCAGTGCTTGACGCATCGATGAGCCTTGAAACTGAAGCAGAGTGCACACACGAGTCATGAGTGTTGTCGTCTGGACACTGTGATGACTGATAGAAGGCTGGTACTAGTACTGGAGGCAGGACACAGCTAGTATGTAGATTAGTGACGTGGGGGTGATGAGCGTATACACACCTTGTGACTTTGAGTACGCGCCAAGAGTGCCACGTTTCGTGCCGTAAATCGCCGCATGACTAGATTTGGTCAAAATGGAGATTGAGGGGGATTGGCCAAATCTTGAAAACTTTTAGACTTTGTGCGCTGGCAAGAAACATTTAGCGTGATCCACAACAAATCAGGTCGATCGGCCGGGAGGTATGCATGAGTGAAACGAAACGTACTCTGCTGGATCAAGTATATATCAAATAAAGGAGCAAGCTCTGGAGCTCGTCCTTTGATATGAGTAATCCAGTTCGGAGAACTGAATCGAGTTGCAATACACTATACAGCGGCAGACACTGACTGGGGAGTATGATGTATCTAGGGTATTATTAACACAGTACAGCATACTTGGGCAACGCGATCGGCCTTTGCTTACTTCCGTCCATCCTTTGCTTACGTGATCATATTCACCTTTGGTCGATTTATGCCAATCACGTGCGTGCAACACAAGAGTGACCTGCCCAAAGAGTGAATTCGAACATGCCTACTACCTTTGAGTGGGGACATGTAACGGGGCACCTGTAACGGGGTTGCACGAAATCATGGTACTTTGTACCAGAGGTGTTACACACCTGAGGGTTCGCTTCTGTGAAGGTGATATAGAATATCTTATCGGTTTGTAGGGGCTGACAAGTGTCAGCCATTAGATACGAAAGATCTTTGAGTAGGATTAAGATATTCTATAGGCTTTAACATTAAATAAAATCAGTTCCCATTTTGATCTGAAAGACGCGTGGCTTGCGAGCCGTCTTGATCGTTGATCTCTGATCACTAAGAGTTAGCAACACCTCCTTGAGGTAGCTACTCTTGAGCACTAAGTGCTGTCGATTCACTGAATCGTTAGGTCCCCTGGAACAGGGATCTGAAGCTGTAAAGCTTGCTGACTCGTAAAGTCGTTAATTCTTTGGAACTAAGTTGCTCGTAGAGCGTTAAGTCTTCCTCTGACTTAAGGAGCTGTGTAGCTCCGCTACACTTGGTAGCACTAGTAGTCAATCTACGCCTGAGTCTTTAAGACTGATCCTCTGTGAGGATGGAAAGCATCACTCCCCTATCTGAGGCCCAAAAGGTCGCGCTTGACAAGCTGACCGCATCTTTGGGTCCAGAGTACGTGGAGTTTCTTGTTTCACAAGGTCCTGAAGTGCTTAATGCACGTGTTGACGGCTTCATGCAGTATGAAGCGACCCTTTTAGGGCAGGTCCAAGACCAAATAGCGTCGGCTATGCCTACACGCTTCGTGTCTGTACCAGACGAAGAGGCTAAGCCTCGTCCACTTAAAGTGGACGTAAAAAACTACTCCGGCAAGGAGGGTGAGAACCTCATCCTCTGGACCCGTGAGATCGAGATGGCCATGAGATCAGGCCTGATCACGCTTGACCATCAACAGGTCTCGCTGGCTATCTCGAAGCTCGATGGTAGAGCTAGAGAATGGGCCTTGACGTGTAGCACGTCGGTGGACATAGCGTTTCCCACATGGGAGTCGCTCAAATCACAATTGGTACAGGTGTTTTCTCCACCTAACCAGGCTTACCGCGTGCGCTCACGCTTTCTTTCTACCCGCCAGGGTAAGAATGAATTATCGGACTATGTCCAAGAGCTGCGAACGCTCATGGCTGCAATGCAGTCTGACCCTCTGCCTGAAGCAGTCCATGTGACTATCTTCATGGAAGGTCTACGTACTGGCATTGCCAGAACCGAGGTTTTTCGGGTTCACCCCTCTAAGTTTGAAGAGGCTGTGAGAATTGCTCTTAATGCTGAGCATAACTTCAAGTCGGCCAGACTTGGTTGGAATGGATACAATCCTCGCTCTGTGAGAGCAAACTATTCGGGTACCACTGCCTATAATAGGCCGGAACCGATGGATCTCAGCTATGCTGAAGATGGAGGTGAAGCTGAGCTTCGAGCTGCTGAGCAGCAACACGTTGTAAGACGATGCTTTATGTGCGGAAGCACTAAACACTTGCGGCCTGGTTGCCCTTTGCATAAGCAACGCCAGACTACGAACCAACACTCGACCCCGAGTCAGAAGTCTGGCATGGCACGGGGAAATGCCGACACCCAGTAGGCGCGGGGCGCCCTACTGGGGAAGAACTATGTTCTGTTACACCTTTAGGAGGTAAAGGAATGCAGGGCTTAGCCCCAAAGAGTACCATACCTACGGGTATGGTGCGTGGATACAAGTCTGGCTTGTTGGTCGCCGAGGCGAAAATTAAGGGCTTCGAGAAGCCTTGGTCGATATTGATCGATTCTGGAGCGTCTTGCAATTATGCTCGACGCCGTTCCCTTGAGGGAAGTCAGCGTTATGTTGAGGCGCTTACAGCGCATGAGGGTGATTCTATCACGGTTCGTTTAGCGACTGGAAGTCGCGTAACGGTGCCTAAAGTTCCATTGAACTTAGGTATAACGTTTTTAGACTTTGACAGTATTGAGCGCTGTCTTGTCCTAGATTTGGACTCGAGATATGATCTCATCCTAGGTATGGCTTGGCTTGAGCGCCATGAGCCATGGATTGATTGGAGGTCTAAGACCTTAGGCGCTACGCGCAATGTTCCTAGCGAAGCTTTGGAGAGTCATGAACCCACCTTTGCTAGGCAGCAAAAGCGCTATTGGCGCGAGCCTTTGACAGAAGATGTCAATGTGCTGGATATTGGAATGTCCGAGTTATCTAACTCCCATGTTACAAACATAAGTTTCGAGCCTAGCTCGTCTAAAACTAGTGAAACGGCACGTACTCCGTTGAGTGGTACTCGTTGTGATAACGAGTCACTGCATGCTGAAAGCATGGTTGGCCTAGGGCCGAGTGATCAAGGACGTGATTCCTTTGATGTGTGTATGGTGGCACGTGAAACTACACCGAGTGCGGTCGGCCGTGAGAGCACCGCACTGAATGTCGGTAATGACATTGTTGGCGATACGCCGTATAGTGTGGGCGGCCGTGAGGGCACCACACCTAATGTCAGTAATGACATTGTTGGCGATACGCCGTATAGTGTGGGCGGCCGTGAGGGCACCACATCTAATGACAGTAATGACATTGTTGGCGATACGCCGTATAGTGTGGACGGCCGTGAGGGCACCACGCTTAACGCCGGTAATGGCGTTGTTGGCGATTCGCCATATGGTGTGGGCGGCCGTGAGGGCACCACACCTAATGTCGGTCAAGACAAAAGCTCTCGTATAGAGCATACTATGGTTGGTAGTAACCATGGGGACAATATTGTCCCGACCCCTAAGGGGAGTAAGGTCTCGAAGAGACAATCGAGACGCCGAGTAGCAGCTGTAAAGCGCCAGGCGTCCTCACAGTCACATAGTGAGATTATCAATACACTGTATACACTTGTTAATGGAGTGACTGGTCGGGTTGATGGCAGTGTTTGCCTTGAAACCCTTCCATCCGTGGACGCTCTTTGTGAGCTAGACGAAATGTCTGATGGCGAGTTTAGCCAGGCCTTGAAGGCAGGAGAGTTATCCGAGTTAGCGGTCATTAGACCTGATACTGAGTTGAACTCTTCCTCGTTAATGGATGAGTCTGTCCTAGAGGATACAAAGGCGGCACTTAGTGCACGAAGTGGATCTTCGATCCTTAAAGATCCGTCGGATCCGTTCTATCCTTTAGTCAAGGAATTTCAAGATGTGGTGTGTCACAACCCACCTTCTGCCTTACCTCCCGATAGAGGTGTACGTCATGAGATTGACTTGGTTCCTGGAACTAAATACTGTGTAACACGGCAGTGGCCTTTGCCTAAAGAACAGTGCGACGTCATTGACGATTTCTTTCGTGCTAAGCACGCGGCTGGGATGGTTCGTGAGAGCAAGTCTCCCCACTCAACACCGACATTTTGTGTCAAAAAGCCAAATGGCAAGTGGCGTATTGTGCATGCTTACAATAAGCTTAATGCAGCTACTATACCGGCGCAGACGCCTATTCCTCGAAAGGATGTTCTTCAGAACAATATGGCGGGATGTACACTGTACAGTGCACTCGACTTAGTCGATGGTTATTACCAACTGCTCATGCGAGCAAGCGATATTCCGCTAACAGCGGTGAGTACTCCGAGCGGTATGCTTTGGGAGTGGCTCGTTATGCCGCAAGGGCTATCTAACGCCCCGGCTACGTTTAACCGGTTGGTAACGCAACTATTCAGACCTCATCGAGGCTATGCACAAACGTACTTTGATGACATTTTTGTCCATAGTCGTGCAATGAATGGGCGATCAGATGTGGATAACCACATTGATCATTTACGAGCTGTGCTCGAGTGCATGCGAACGAATAAGCTGTATGCGAACGCATCGAAGTGCATCTTTGGTGCAGAAGAGATTCCCTTTCTAGGGTGCTTCATTGGGAAGCGAGGCCTTCGAGCGGATCCCGCTAAGGTAAAAGCCATAGTCGATTGGCCAGTCCCCAAGAACCAAAAGGACTTGCGTAAATGGCTTGGCCTTGCCAATTACTTACATAAGTATAGTGCAAATTACGCAGATATGGCTCGGCCATTGTCCAATCTCCTTAAAAGGATGTGGGTTGGTGTTGGGGTAACACCGAACATAATGCTTTTGAAGCAGTTAAGGAGAGTCTCCTCCATGCGCCAATTTTGGCTTTGCCCGATTCTGGTCGGCCTTTCAGTGTCGTCTGTGACGCATCTGACTTTGCCATAGGCAGTGCTCTGTTACAAACAGATGTCGACGGACGCGAACGCGTCATCGCATTTGAATCTCGACAGCTGAAAGCTGCTGAAAAGAACTATCCTGTTCATGACAAAGAGCTACTTGCTATGAAGTACGCTCTTGTCAAATTCAGAGTCCATCTGCTTGGCTCGAAGCCATTTGTGATCTATACCGATCATGCGTCATTGCGCACTGCGACACAGTCGCCTCATCTCTCACAGAGAATGGCTCGTTGGCTATCTTTCTTTGCCGAATATAACTTCGAGGTGAAGTACAAGCCAGGTAAGCAAAACGCTTTGGCTGATGCGCTATCGCGTCGACCTGACTATGAGCTTGCTCATGTTACGACCCTGTCGTCGTCAGTCCCTGACTTAATTCGTGCGGCATATGCCAAAGACGATCAGTGTGTAGCTTTGCTACGTGCTCTTGGGAGCAATGAGTTTAAAGACTCGGACATAGAATTGTCGGCACGTTTACGTGCGAGGCTACATCGATATTCCATCGATAATGGCCTATTGTGCTATCGCACGGATATTGAGGACAACCCTCGTATCGTAGTACCTCATAATGAGGAATTAAAGTATCGGATCCTCTATGAGGCACATGATACTGCTTTAAGTGGTCATCTCGGTCGTGAGAAGACTTATAGCTCGGTGAGCCAAAGTTATTGGTGGCCCAAACTTTATAAGTGGGTGCGCACCTATGTGCGTACGTGCGAAACGTGTCAACGGGTAAAACCCTCGACACATGCGGCGGCGCCGCTGGCTAGTTTGCCAGTACCCAGTGGTTGTTGGGAGTCCATGAGCATGGATTTTGTGTTTGGCCTACCGAAAGATTCGGAAGGCAACACTGGTATTGTGGTCTTTGTTGACCGATTGAGCAAGATGGCTCACTTAGCGGCTGTGCCGGATAGCATCGATGCGGAAGGTACAGCAAAGCTGTTTATCGACCGTGTGTTTCGCCAACATGGCTTGCCTGTGGCAATTACCTCTGATAGAGACCCCCGCTTCACTGGGAAGTTTTGGAAGTCTATCTTCAAGGTGCTTGGCACTCGATTGGACATGTCCACAGCGGATCATCCGCAGACCGACGGTCAAACTGAGCGTGTAAACCGCGTCATCAACGACATTTTGCGCAGTATTTGCGCTGATACGCCTAGGCGTTGGAGCTCAATGCTCCCTGTTGTTGAGTTTGCGTTGAATAACGCTGTTCATGCCTCAACAGGCTTTACTCCGTTCTATATAAACGGTCTCACTCACCCTCGCGTTCCGTTAACGCTATCACTACGTGAATCAGGGCTTGGTGGGGGAGAGGTTGCCGATCGGCTTGCTGATATCAGCCCTGCTACTGTTCAAAAACAGGTAAGCGAGTTTCTCGCAACGCGATTAAATGTCCTAAGACATGTGCGTGACGCAATGACTGATAGCCAAGATACCCAAAAACAACAAGCTGATGCCAAAAGCAGAAATTGTATTGAACGTTATGAGGTCGGAGACCAAGTACTACTCAATGCTAAAAATCTACCTACAAATGTAGTGTCTGCTGTCTTTAAGACAAAGTTGCGTCCACGCTTTATTGGACCGTTCACGGTCACGGCCAAAAGGGACTTGCGTATACGCTAAACCTCCCACGCAAATTGCGCACACATCCAGTGTTCTACGTAGGCTTACTTAAGCCGTACCGGGATCCTTCCCATGTGAACTTGGAGGCGCTTGCGCCGACGACAAGGGCACCGCCCCGGATTGCTGTAGACGAATCAGCAAGTCCAACTGAGCCTCGCTCCGAGTTTGAGCTTGCTCCATCGCCTGAAGGCGGTTTTGCATCGCATCCAGCATGCACTGGGACTTACCCAAGGCCGCTTGAAGACCCTTCACTTCGAGAACCAATTTCTCGTGGGCCTCCACCGGTACACCGGCCGCCACCGACGTTGCTCGATGAGCATGGGTGTCGTCAATTCATGTCGAGAGACTACTGAAACGACGTCGTCGTCAGGGCCAATATCAGTATCTGGTAAAGTGGCGTGGGTACCCTGAGTCTGAAAACTCATGGGAATTTGAGGTACCCCTTCGGCAAGACTGCCCATATGATTTGGAGGCTTTTGAGCATCGTGGCCATGGTCATCGCGAGGCCGAGGCCGTTCACCACCACTAGTGGTGCGGGTTGGCGGGTTGTTGGTCACAGACTGACCAGCACTCGCGGCTACCTTAGTAGCCGAAGCATAGCGCGTGCGCTTGCGCAATTGGCCTCTGGCCTTAAGCTTGGCATAATCATACCGAAGCTTGCGTTCGAGACGCACATCCGCCGCATGGGCACTAGCCCTTAGAGCAAAAATGTTGCTGAGGCGACGCACATAGTGCACCCAGTGAACAAAGGCATCGTCTTCTTCACTCGCTGTTTCGCCTGCGAGCAGGAGAATGGGTATACCCTTCATCGGTGGAACTGGTGCACCACGTGCTTGCATGTCAAGGCGTGCCTTGTATTGACTTTGAGTCGTTAGGTGCGGCTCCAGGTACCTCTCACGAAGTGCCTGGCAGCTCACCACCTCCTCAGGAGTCTTAGGCCCATGGCCAATGACCCACGTTGCCAATGTTTGGCCGGCCGCTTGACGCAGACGTTCCTCCACACTGGGTGGGGTGAACACATAATCACGCTGGCGTTCAAGGGTTGCAGTCATCTGTGCATAACGCTGAGCGTTTTGTTCTCTTTGAACAAGCAGTTGTTGTTGCTCATCGAGCGGGTTCGCGATGATAGTCTCATCAAACCCAGATGCTGCACGCTGCGCTGGCGGCGCGCTCGCACCTCCACGTTCAGCGAACGGATTTGGGGTGTTCGAAAGTTGTGCCTCAGGCATCAGTGAGCCGGACGTTGTCCCTGTGTCACCGCGGACACTGGTATCGCTACCATAGTCCACCTCTTCCTCTATTCCGAGGTAGTCACACAGAGCCTTTGACTCGTTTGGTGATGAGGACATCGTGCTAGAGCGTACGTTACCGTGAGGTTCACCGTACGCGCACTGTTCTCGCTGAGAATACGAGTTCGATTGACGTTTTGGGTAAACGTCAGTCTGGTGGGGGAGGGTGTAACGGGGTTGCACGAAATCATGGTACTTTGTACCAGAGGTGTTACACACCTGAGGGTTCGCTTCTGTGAAGGTGATATAGAATATCTTATCGGTTTGTAGGGGCTGACAAGTGTCAGCCATTAGATACGAAAGATCTTTGAGTAGGATTAAGATATTCTATAGGCTTTAACATTAAATAAAATCAGTTCCCATTTTGATCTGAAAGACGCGTGGCTTGCGAGCCGTCTTGATCGTTGATCTCTGATCACTAAGAGTTAGCAACACCTCCTTGAGGTAGCTACTCTTGAGCACTAAGTGCTGTCGATTCACTGAATCGTTAGGTCCCCTGGAACAGGGATCTGAAGCTGTAAAGCTTGCTGACTCGTAAAGTCGTTAATTCTTTGGAACTAAGTTGCTCGTAGAGCGTTAAGTCTTCCTCTGACTTAAGGAGCTGTGTAGCTCCGCTACAGCACCCTTCGTTTGGGGTGCCGCGAAACTTCACGTACACTAGTACGTGCAGAGGAAGCTAATCTACTTGAACGACTCGGTCAAGTAAAGGTAAAAAGAGAACTGTATTTAGTATAGTTAAGCTATCAATATAACTTCAGTCTTTATCTAACTCTACTAAACTACGCCGTCGTATGACGACAACCTGCTCACCGCTCATTGCGCGCGTCAAGCAGCGATTGGTGGCAATCTATGGTTGACATGTCTTATATCAACCAATCTTGGAGCAGCGCATGAACAGTATCCAAAAGGGGATAATATTCCTTCAATATTATCCATCTCGGATAATATCGGTAGAATATTGTCATACTAGACAATATTCCAATTGGCACCGTTTGGTGTTGATTTCATGCAACGGGCTACCCCGTTACATCACCCCCCCCTTAACCATCAATAACCCGTTGATTGAATTAGAATTGATCGGGACAGGGCGACCACCGTTGGATCACCCTGGGAAAGGGATCACTTGTTGATCAAATTCCATTCATTTGCCAATTTAACGCATGGTTTTAAAACCACGCGATCTGCTACTGCAGCAGCGAGAAGAGCGGCTGCAAGCATGCGTGCGGCCGCGGAAAGTGCCTCTCACGCCTCAGCAACAGGCGATTCGTCGCCTCTTGTCGTGAATCCTCCACGTGGTGAGTCACCACGTGCGACAGGTACATCTGTTGCGTCTGCAGCGGGTATCTCGAATCGTAATCCGGACGAGTCTGAGATAGAGCTCATTTATTCCGGCGAGTCGGATGCTGCATCCGATTTGAAGGCGACTCCTTACGCCTCGGGATCACCCGGGGTGGACGCTGCAAAAGCCAGGCTGACTGGCTCTGGTCAGCGCGGCAGTATCACGACCGAGATCTTCGGATCGAGTGATTATTCCGATGAGTCTCCGCCTCACGCAAGTCCGTCTAACGATAGGACGCGTGGAGATCGTGGTGATGCTCCCTTACATCACCACGAGCGAAGTAACTTAAGGGATCGGGGTAACACTGGTGCCAGTGCTCACGCTGGCACAATCGAGAGGCCAGGGACCGAAATGTCCTGTGCCACGCTCCCCAAGTGGAGTCTCCGTGGATGCCACCATCCAGAGAGTCGGACCGGTTGGCCGGCACGACTACCGATCGAGGTCGAATCCCGTTGTTCGGTTGCAGGAAGATTTGCCCACCTGATTCCAGCACAGAAACTATCCCTGCTGAGAAAAAGTTTTTCACTGATGCGTTCTTCAAACATCGGTGGTACAATGGCAGCCGCATTTGAGACGGAAGGGCTTTGGTGCAGGGATGGAATGCCCTCATCCACAATATCGAGTGCATTGGCCGTAAGGATTGGCTCGCCAAACTTGATGCAGCTCGCATCAGGTTTGAGAAACGCAACCCCGTCGGGGCGCGATACAAGTTGCACCGGCTTTTAAGAGAGGCCGGATTACCCTGTCTCTCGTGGGGTGATTCGTGTCCAGGTTGCCTGGACAACTCCAACCGTGTCCCTAGGGAGACCCACCTCCCTAATGATCCCTACTGGAGGGCGCGCATCTCTTCCAAGATGGCCAAAGGGATTGACACCTTGCAATCCCTGTACTCGCGTTTGGGGAGGTCGTTTTCCGACGGCCCTTTTTCAAACGCAACGGGTGGGTCTCGTCATACTGCTCGACGAGACCAAGGACATCATCAATCAGCTGGGCACGAGGCTCCCAGATGTCCCAGGCCGGTGGATAGCCACTCCAGCGGACGAGGTAACTCGTCCGGACGCCATTCACGTCGCGGTGGTTCAAAATAGGCTCCACTAGGAAGCGTGGACCACCGCCTGAGTTCACCAAAGGATGTGGTGGCAGCGGGAACAGCCGATCCGGCTCGAGAGTCGGATCAGCTTGATGTTCAAGAGCTGAACCGTGTAACGGAACAGTTGCAAGATGACCTGGCTCAAGAACGGACTCGGCGTTATGGGCTTGGTGATCTTGTGAGGGATAATTATAATTCTCTAACGCACGATCGTTCGGACGATCGTGCCGCTTTTGCGTTCGCGCAACTTGAGAACGAACGTTCGACTCATTCTCTTCGTGATGAGCTGGCTGTAGCTCGTCGAAACATCGCTGAAATGCGTGAACAGGTCGCTTCGCTAGTCGACCAGACTGGCTCGTTGAAACGGGACCACTCGAAGGTGGTCTCGGCTCTCGACCGCGGATGTGTTCTTCGCACTCGAAACGGGCTCGTACTGATAGTACGGGCGGAGACGAAGCGACGTAAAACGTAGGATGCGCACGCATCTTATGAAGCAGTTCAATCGTGTATGTGTTGCCCATTTGGAGCAAGACACGAAATGGACCGATGTACCTGGGCAGTAATTTATTGCTGCCCACGTTTGTCACCGCGTGTTTCGGTAAGTTTACTGTAGACAGTAAAACAAGGTCTCCTTCATCAAATGAAAGAACATTTGTTCTTCCATGTTTGTCTGCGTTTCTTTTCTGTCTGTCTATCTGCAATAGAGTTTTGAACGAAGCGGACAACCGCTTCGCGAGTCAGTAGAAATTCCTCTGCTGTGTCATCCTTGTCAACAGCAGTGCGCTTCGTGTGCACTGCTGAAAGAACGTTGTCTTCACCAGTGAGGGTATCATCGTCCTCACTTTAACGGTCATTAGCGATGCTGAATATGCCAGCATCGTCTTCATCGTTATCATCGACATCGATCCCACCGACATCGGCATCCATCACGTCGACACCATTGTCGACAGGTGATGAGCAAGAACCAGATCGGTTTTTGTTCGAGCGAGTTCACCCCCCCCTTACGCTAGAGTCACACTCTAAGAAGGCAGGTAAAAGTGGATGACGTAGGCCATTCACGAAGTACGGTGTAAGCGTTGTAGACGCGTGCACCGAGTTGATGATGGCGAATTCCGCCATCGGTAAGAACTCACTCCAGCTCGTAAACGAGTGGACATACCCTCGAAGTATCTCTTCGAGGACGCGGTTGACGCGTTCCGTCTGACCATCTGTTTCGGGATGGTCAGAAGTTGAAATCTTCAAACGTGTTCCGAGTGAACGGAACACGGGTCGCCAGAACTCCGCTGTGAAGCGGGGGTCCCTATCAGACACGAGTTCACGGGTAAACCTGTGAATTCGGAAGATAGTATCGATGAAGACACGAGCACAAACCTGGGCTGTGATTGACTCCTGTACAGCAACAAGATGTACCGTCTTGCTGAACCGATCAACAAGCACAAGAATAACAGTATTCATGTGAACGTCTTTAGGAAACCCGAAGACGAAGTCCATCGATTCGGACTGCCAACACTCAGCCGGAATCGGAAGAGGCTGTTAGGGTGCGCGGGATGAAGGGCTAGGCTTTACCCGTTTACAAACTTCGCAAGCGCGGACGCATTTGCACACAAACTCATACTGGCGGGGCCATTAGAAGTCACGACTCACCGTGAGGTAAGTCTTTTCTTTACCGCGATGCCCACTTGTTGGGGCACCGTGACACTCATACATGATGCGCAATCGCAAATCATCATGAGCAGGAACGATGACACGAGGTGTGTCTCCTTTGACTGCTGCATAGTACAGCAGTCCATCACGAACCGAATACCGTTCGGTTGAAGAGCGGTATTGAGACGTCAAGCTTTTCAAAGCTTGACTGCATGGATTAGATAAATAGTCCATCGATCGCAGAAAATACTCATCTTCTGTGTATGCTTTTCGCACGTCATCGAGCAGATCCGACGACGGAATACTCACTGTTAATGTCGATGCAGTGGGATCACCCCTACTGTTGGGTTGAGCAGTCGGCTCGAAATCGGTTCGACGCGAAAGAGCATCAGCGACGACATTAAGTCGTCCTGATTTAAATACGACGGAGAAGTTGTACTCCGCGAAGAAAGACAGCCACCTCGCCATTCGTTGCAAGAGGTGTGGACTGTTTACGGCCGTGCGTAATGACGCATGGTCGGTACAAACGATGAAGGACCTATCTCCTGAGAGATATACCCGAAACTTAGCCAGTGCAAATTTCAAGGCAAGAAGTTCCTTGTCATGCACTGAATAATTACGCTCAGCTGCTTGCTGCTGACGCGATTGATAGCAGACGACGCGCTCAACGCCTTCTGAGTTGTACTGCATTAAAGCGCAGCCGATTGCAAATGGCTGGCGTCACAGACCACATGAAATGGTCTATCCTGATCTGGAATCGCCAACACAGGCGATTGCACCAAGCTTTTCTTAATGCCTTCAAAAGAGTGCTGACACTCAGCGCTCCATGACCACCTCTCGTTTTTTATTAGCAGTCGAGAGGGACGAACGGTCAAATAGGCGTAAGTGCGAGAGTTCTTGTGCAAGTACGCTGCTTAGCCAAGGAAATATCGGAGTCCCTTGACGTCGACTGGCACAGGCCAGTCACTAATCGCCTTGATCTTTTCCGGATCAGGGAGTGCGCCTTTTTTCCCACGATGCAGCCAAGAAGTGGTATCTCGCTCGCTACGAATATGCACTTCTTGAGGTTGACATACAACTTACGCTCTCGCATAAGCGTAAGAACCTTCTGGACGTGGATTCTGTGAGCCTCTACTTCCGTCTTTCCATCAATAGCCCTGCTATGGATGAAGACATCTTCAAAGTAACTCGGTGCGAAGTCTCGAACCGACCGCAACAGATTCGTCACACATTTGCTGAACGTTGCAGGGGCGTTACTTATCCCTGTGACATCACTAGCCACTCCCAGAGCATACCACTGAGGGTGCTCACTGCTGTGTACGGGATGTCCCGTTCACGCGTGAGGATCTGATAGAATCCATCCAGCAGATCCATGGACGAAAAGATGGTACTCTTTGCCACACCATCTATGGTGACGTCCTTCCTTGGTATCGGCTTTTGGGCCAGTGCCGTTGCAGCGTTACATTTGTTGAACGCGTGCACTATCCGCCACCCTCCTGTGGCTTTTCGCACACAGAGGGTCGGAGAGATGTGTGGGGATCTTGATTCCTTCACATGACCAGCCGCTAAACGATCGGCAAAGAATTTGTCGATCGCTGTGACCTGTTCACGAGGCAGTGGCCACTGCTTCATGACACATTATTTCGAACCAGGTTTCAGCTCGATCTCATGCCGAGTGCCTTTGTCCTTGGGCAGATCGCATGGCATGGTTTCAGGGAAAACATCCCTGAGTTCGATCAAATCCTTTTACAAAGGATTTGTCTTCAAATACTCCCAAGATTGAGACGTGTACCGCTCAAATCCGGGTCTTCGCATCGAGGACACTCTCATCCATCGCTCAATCCGGGTCTTCTCATCGAGGGCCCTCTCGTCCATCGATGAACTACTGAGAACCCGTTCGATCTCAGCAAACACTTGTGCCGACCGAATATCGGCGACGTACTCGTCCTCTGTGACGAGTACGCAGATCTGCTTGATCTTGTCACTACGCAGATCTCGCAAGAATCTTTAGATTCTAGCGTTGGCAGCTTGACTACCTCCGAATCTGACTTCGAAGGTGTAACCATATCAATTGTATAAGTGCCTACACTTGATCCGTCATTCACCAAGACATTCACTGTCTCGGTGATTTCCTTGGAAAACGCATCCGCAGGTGGTTGGGGATCCACACCCTCAGCATAACTATCTCGGGAGTTATTTCTCTCAGGAACGCATGAATTTTCTTCCGTTACGTGTACTATCACGGTCGCGTTCTCTTCGATCGACTCTCTTTCAGTCGAGCGGGCTTGCTCTACGATCGACTCTCTATTAGTCGATCTAGCTTCAACGTGTTGTTCATCCTGAACAACACTACTCTCTCTTCTCGGATGCACCCTTCTTGGTATACAGCCGTGCTCTAGTTCACTCGATCTCTTCGAGTGGTGAACATTCGTTGCAGCCTGTGTCTCTACACAGGTGCCGGAAGCCGGTTCCACAGTGTAGTGGCCTTCTACACTGTGATCTTGTGCAGTCGTACTTACGACCGTTCCACAATTGAGGCCATCGCACTCAATCATAGCACATCCACACGCTTGTGGGCGCTCCAAGACGTTCACCAGAGGGCCATCTGATGAACAAACGGTAGGAATCTTCACGGATCGACGCTACCAGCTAATACATGGCTGGTATTTCTAAGCCATGGCAGACCGAGGATGACATCAAATTTGTCATCCAAATCTAGTACGATGGAGTCATTATCAATCTGATTTCCTTCTAGCGTGTAGTGGATTCCCACTACACGTTTGTTCACTGTTACATATGCGCCTGTAGCATGACACACCGTCATCCTCGTTGGAGGGAACTCTCGCTCAACATAGTTGAGCCTACTATCCTTTAGTGACTGGCGTCGAATAAAACTGTTCGACGCCTCACAGTCAACTAGGGCGCGAAGTGACATACGACTTGTCACTTCGATCTTCAAAGTGATGAGGGACACCTCATCACTAGGGGCAGTAGCACACAGCGACTGTGTGTTGGGAGCAATCTTCGTCAAGAGTCCTGCAGATACTCTTGACGTTGCTGAATCAGCAGGGTGCTCCGCCACTACTGACCCTGACCGTTTTTGACGGTCCGACTTGCTGTCGCGGCTTGGCAAAATGGTCGGACCCACGCCTCGGACCTTTCCTTGGACAACGGCGGTCATCACGTCCTGTTTTCGGACGTGTCGCAGTGCTCGGGACACTACACTCATGAGCGTAGTGTCCAATCTTCTGACAGCGATGGCATCTTGCCGTTCACTTGTGACTCAGAGAGCGAGGTTTCTCGCTCTCGATGTAACAGAGGTCCATTGGTTCGGGACCTCCTATTTCCTGTCGCCTCGTCGGACGATAGTTGGACGAGTTAGCCTGAGAATGTCTCAGGCTGAAGTCTTATTGTTTCTCATACGTTATCTCCCTTTCCAGCGTATGGAAGTCCTCTTGGAACATGTAGGTCTTCACCGGCCCCTCTACAAGGCCGTAGATGAACACGTTGATGAGCGTGTGCTCATCAACAGGGTTTCCGCAACGCTACTCGCAGGTAGAGCAGTTGATGTGCGTAAGCGTGCACGTCACGCTTACCTTGATTTAGCCTCAAGAGTGCAGAGCGTGCTCTGGACTCGGCTCTCGGCGGCTCAAACGTCTCTTTAATCCGAGACATCAAGATCTCTAACGACTCAAACACGTTTGGGTCGTGAAGCTTGAGCCCTAAGGCCCAAACCTTTGCTCGTCCCGTCAAAGTTGATAGGGCGAGGGTGACTTGCATCTCGTCACCCTCGATGTGACGGGCCCTGATGGCATCGTCTAGCTCGACGAACCATCTCAAAAGGGAATCTTCATCGGTTCCCTTGAACCTCGAGATA